CAGATGACTCGCTGGAAAACACTACTGATGTTATCATTTGTTACCTTAAATTCTGTTTTGATATTTGTTTTCCCATGTAAACCATTTTTGTAAGTTTTGGTCGACTTACATCTTCACAACTAAAACGACTACAGAGGGTGAAAGAAAGAATGTACAAGGAGGAAATCTCTAATGAAGTTCGTAAGCCAAATGGTCTGATAAACCTAGAGATTAGACGTCTCAACTCTATGTTTACTCAAAGACTCTTGTCTTGCAAAAACTCTCCAAGTATGTGGAAACTCTTTAAAGAACCTACAGGTGACAGGCACATTCGGAGCGATAATCAGCTGAATGTTTGTGACTTAAATAAGACTTTTGTACGGCAGTCATCTGATGTGATGTTCTCTTTATCCACAGGTTTAAAGAATAGCTGTGTTCCTAGTTTCACCGAAACCGATGTCCAAAATGTCTCCAGCCACTTAATTTATCCCGATGTTTGGGACCTGATGGTATCCCAAACATCCTTTTCAAAAAAATGTGCTGATGTCCTATGTTATACATTCACGACTATCTTTAACAGATCCTTCTCATCTAATCTCATACCGAAAATGTGGAGAAAGATGAAGACAATCCCTGTACCCAAGAAAGTATCTGGCGATAATAATGTAAAGTTTAGACCTATTGCAATAACTTCACCCTTCCTCAAAACAATGGAAAAATTAGTAATACTTCCATTTTAGCCTGCGATAAAAGAGCACATTGATCCGTATCAGTTTGCTTACAGATGCAGAAGAAGCACCTTAGATACTGTTGCTGATCTGCATCACAATATAGTGTTCATATCAGAAAAGGGGATGAAGTATGTTCGATGCGCTTTTCTGGACTATTTATTAATTATTTACTAATAAATAACAAGTTAACCAGCGTCAACACTGACGCCTGGATAACCAACTGGCTATGTTCCTACCTCTCTGGAAGGAAACAGTATACTGTATTCCGAGGAAAGTGTTCGGAGTCTCTACTGTCTCATGAAGGTGTACCAAAAGGAGCTGTTCTTTCACCTCTCCTTTTCTCTTTTTTTCTGCATGATCTGCTATCTTCCACAGAACACACTTTTGTGAAATATGCGGATGATCTTGTAGTGACTCACTCTTATCACGAGAACACGATTGGTTTATTGAAAACAATTATTATTATAACCAATTGTACCAGTGACTGTTTCAATATGCTTTTGTTTAACTGTGCTAACGGCATTCATTATTCTTACACTGTGATTGTGAACTCGCGCGGATTCGGTTACGTTCTGCAACGAAGATTCTATCCTGGCACGATCTCGGTATCCTTTCGATACCACGAGATCGCCAACTAATATATCTCGACTTGGTCCATTAAATGCCTTCTGATATTTGGCTTCCCCGGGGATTTCATGGATATTTCATGGACATCCCATAGAAATGAATGAGTTTCTGTGTCGTATTGATTGTTGGTCTCTTGGTAATGGTCTCATACTTAATCCATCTAAATGTCAAGCTCTTAACTTTAGCATGAGACATGAACGGAATCTAAACACCATTCTGAGATTCCATAATGCTTATACCATTGGAGACTCTTTGATAAACACAGTGTCGAAGGTCAGTTATTTTGGTGTTACCTTTTCCTTTGATCTCTCTTGGTCTTCCAACGTTTTATTGTTATCGAAGAAAGTTTTCCACCTGACGTACTACATTAAGACATTGCATGCTTTTGGGATTACTCGTCAGTTACTCTTACAATTTGTCAATTATTGCATATTACTTATTATTCTTTGTTGTTCTCCATTACCCTTTCCCGGGCTTTTGAGAAAAGACTTTGCTGCATTGCGGAGAGTACTGGAGGCAGTTAGCAAGATGTGTGGCGAATCTTTCGAAGTTATAGTTAATATGATTGTGGATAGACATCTATAGTCATGCAAACTCCTGGCAGGTGCTATTTTATCAGAAACTTGTAGAATTATGGTCCATTGCGATATTAGTACTGCTCTAATAATAGACCTAATCCCAAAATTGTAGATTTGTCATGATATAACTGCATAATTATAAGATCTTACGTGGAAGTCACATCATCGTCTACGCCACCTCACTGTATCGTATCAATTACCAATACATGATGTAGAAAAAGGTTAGACTAGAGAAGGAACAATATATTTAATTTGAATAGAAGATATAAAGTGAGATTTAGAGGGACCACGCATGCATGGCCGGGCCATGCCATCTGATCAACTCCAATTAATTCAATTCCTTGTGCGCGCCTTCTCCATCGCTAGGTATTTCTCCGTGTTAAATATTGAATATCTATTATCCGAGTGGTCCCGTATTCAGCTTTCAGGATTGTGTGGTTATGGTCCAATGCCACTACGTACTAACCATCCTACTCACTCTTATCTCTCTCCTTGTATATCTTCTGTTAAAACGAGACGTAATTACATAAAAATCCATGCACGCAAGCAAAAGTTTAAAAGTTCTATGATACCTTACCTAGCAAATATACTCTGTAACGAACAGGTTCATAGAGTTAACCTAGTCAATAACCTGCATTTTTAACATGTCTCTAATTCGAAAACTTGTACAGTTTTTCGGTTTTTTTAAAAACCTTTACTTTGCACTCGTTACTGTTTTTTGCGTAAGTAACTTGTAGAAATACCTTGTTCTGAGAATTCTATATTGAACCAAAATATAATACTGAATAAAGCCGTTAATAATAATGATCATAATAATCAATTGTTGTTTATTCTTATAGTGAAGTCACTTCTAATGAATCTCCTAGTTAATGTGAGAAATATGTTTTGAATGACGTCACATTACTTATAACTTAGGCGTGTGAAAACATTATTTCTTGCAGGAGAATAGTGTGAGAAAATCTATGGTTCAAATTCTAGTACATAATCGATATACTGATCATATACAATTTCAGGATTCCGGTGAGTCCGTTCCAATTTCAACTGTTAATTCTAATACTAATGGGCATATTCCAGACCATACAGAGTCTATATCCAATACACAGTCTGGCAGACATACGATGAACCTAAGGAGATGACGTTCAATTAATTACGAGAACTTAGATTCCAATTTAAGCTGTGGCCGTTGCACTGTTCTTATAGACTAATGATTCATTTGTATTTAATGACTGCCTGATTTCGAATTACGAATACAATACGTTCGTTTGTGCTCCTCTAGTTCTGTGTGAGTTGAATTGCGTTATTTCAGGGATTCCTAGTTCGTATGGTAATCCAAATACTTCTGATCGTCGCATTGGTTCAACAGTATGTAGTGGCCTACTTTTGTCAGGAGAACGTAATTGGTGTTGTAGAAACAATATTGTTATAAACAATTGTACCGGGATTGTTTTGCCGCACCTGTTTGTTCAACTGCACCAAAAACACATACATTCTCCCGTTGATCGTGACCTTACCTGAATTCGGTTACGCTCAGTAACCGCACCTGTATTCTTTCGATACCAGGAGATCGTCAGCAAATACATCTCGACTACAGCCATCAACTGCCTTCTGATATTCGACGTACGGGGGATCTTATCGGTTAACTGGCACGTGGTCTTCCGTTGTGGTGACCATAGTCAACCGGACTCGACGCCATACTACAAGTACTTGCTTTCTTCATAGCTGTTATCTTTCTGAAGTCTAGATATTTGCATCTACACTATATGCGAATTGGCAAATAGACATTCAAATCAATAAATTGGAAATTAGTCCAGACATTAAATTTCATGATGTTCGAAACCGTACAGCATTACCTAACGCACTGGGGCATGTGCAGTAGACTGTCTAGATAACCTTCTCTGGACCTTACAAATACTTAAAACTGTTCCGTGACACCTAAGATCGGGAGTAAAGGATTTATCATGTTCTTATTGTCGTTTCATAACAGTGTTGATTGCTGTGCATGACGGTTTGACACCTAGTCAACCCAACACGAGCAACTAACTTGAACATCAGCGCCATCAAAGAATTTCATAGCAAACAACAAAAGCTAGGTAAGCTCTCTATGAAAGTTATCTCTGTTTGGAATGTTCTTCTAGCCGAAGTGACCACAACGCACTCAGAGAATGGCTTCAGGAGGAGACTCTAGAACCTCATATTCTCGCTCTTTGATTAAATGAGCCTTCTGCTATCACCTAAACTATTTATTGTTATAATTATCACATCTTATAAACATATTCCTTCATCGCTTATTGTTAACTCTGCTTCTCTTTTACTTTTGTAGGGCCAGTGGAATGTCATTAAGCCCTAGCCAAGTCATCCGGCTGTTGGGTAACTGAATATCGAACAGACCATCAATCCCTGCCAAGGTCAAGGGCAACCAATGCGCATCAGTTAATCATATGCCATGGACTGGTCCATGCAGCGGTAGTCCTACCACCTTCTGTGTACTCATTCTTACTCATACTTCCGTAGTAACTTTCTTTGTATTATACGGTCTTCAAAGCGGCTACCGTACTTTAATAGGTCGAAGGGGCAACCCACGTTAGATGCTGACTGCGAGGTGTGATTTCGAAGTCACCTGGTTCGTCACACCATTCCCGTCTAAGTTCAGTAACACCTCTGATCATTTGACGTAGATCATCAACATTGAGGACCTACACTGTAATACTCTAGTTTTCGCACACTATCTTCATTACCAATTAACTAACACGTTTACTGCCTGTTTCTTGAAGAACTGGTTAGTTCCTAGCATCCGAATTTCCGAGTCATTATTTTTCACATTACAACCAAACAACCCCCTGCCTGATAGCGTGAAAGGTGCTGTTATCTAGAAACCCTACTGTTCCGAGACAAACGCATTCACTCAAACTACAAGATCTGTAAACCCACAAATAACTAATAAACTGACTAGGATTAGTGCAATCGAGTAACCAGACTACCGCCTATTAAAAGTTATTAAAAACTTGGAAGCGTATATAATCAACAAGAAGTGAGTTCAAAGACACCAGTCGGTATGCACAACTTTGTCTCCAAGATATTGGATACTGGAAGGCAGTTCGGGGTTCTTTCAAATCTCAAGGACGGCATGCAAACTTTTTGATAAACTTAGGTCATCTTTTTATCAACTGCTTTTCATATGGACACAGTATGTTACAGGTCTCGTTTTTCCATAGGTTATTCATAGAAAAAACTTCCCGAGAGGTTCTTCAGGAAGAAGGCAGAGGCCTTCAACCGAAAGGTTAAATATGCTAAACAAAGTGTCACTCAGGTAGCGGCACTACACAATGTATTGCCTGGGTACGTTGCGTTTCTCTTCTTTATGGCACTTAGCTATCTTGAGAAGGAAGATGAAAGTGAGATAATCACTCAAGATGCTATGTTGAAAGAAGTTGATATTGGTTCCGCAACTAAGGTAAAATACTATAAGCTTTAGGCGAATATGAAAACTAGCGTTTTGATGTTAAACTACAGTATGGACCGTATGCGATTGATTATTCACGAAACGGCAGGTAAATTGGCTGCCAAACGCTTGTAAAAAAGACAGATTTTTAGCCCTGTGTGGTAAATCAGGTCACATAGCGGCATTCGACTGGATGGTGAAGAAGCTTCTTTTTGAGATCACTGTCTCTAACGAATGCAAGGATGTTAAGTAAAAAATTTAATTGATAATCTTTTAGGTTTCTTCACCAAGAAACGTTCGTTGCCGTTGCAGAGAAAAGATATGTTTCCATATATGACAATCAAGGCTTAGAAGTACATTGCTTGAAAAAACTGAGTGGGATATTACGAATGGAATTTCTCCCGTATCATTTCCTTCTGGTGTCTTCCGTAGGTTTTTGCACTGGAGCTTTTATTTCAGGCTGACAATGGATTTCTTTATTACCTAGACTGTTCTATTGGTACGATTGTCGCTTCAATACCTACATATATGGGGCGCCTTGGTGTTATGTGTCAAAACCCTTCTAACGGAGTTATTTGCACAGGACACAACGATGGTGTTGTATCTATGTGGGTACCTTCAGAGAAGTCATACGTTATTAAAATGTTCGCCCACCCAACTGCCATTACTTCGATTGCTTGCGACCAAACTGGAAGGTTAGCTTTTATGATAAATTCACAACTTTTGATAGATTCCGAATCCATACCCAATTGAATCTTTCCTCATATATATGACTGGACGTTAATTCTCAGTTCATTCAAAGTTGATTACGTTTCGTTCGCTTGATAATTATAATTGCTGGTATGAGAGCAGTTTGTAATCTTGGTATATACTGTCTTGAATCGTGATAGTAGGTATAAAGTGATGCGTTATGTGAGTCAAAGTAAGCTATAGTAATTAGGAGTATTCGACCTAATGTACTAACTAGGAGTTTCCGAAATAGTGCAATTTACAACAGCCTGTTTTTTCAATTCAAGGATAAATCCTCTAGTTTTTTGGTTGTTCTGTCGAATCATGTTATTAAATTTTGCTTTCACAACACTCGGAATTTGTACAATTTGCATGATTTAGTGGTAGCCCTTTGAGAGTTGCGTAGGGAAGTGAAATAAGCTTGTCTGAGAATGCCAAAAGTTTTAGTAAGCTGCAGACATCCTTTCCGATGAATGTAGGGAAATGAGCTGCAACTTCATCATTCTTAACACCGTTTCTGATCATTGTCCAGATTTCAAACCTCTCCATGTAATTTTCAAAAGTCCCAGAATTTGAGTGTGGAACTGTTCCTTCAAATGCCCTGGTACGGCCGAGAGTAGGAAGAAGCAGCTCTCACTCTCGAAATGCTCTCACATGGTCACTTGCATACAACTACTGCCAGGGACGTCCAACTAACTGCCTTCTCGCAGCATTACTGTTGCTTACGAAATCGAGAGGGTGAAAAGCGAATGTCCGATCTCTAGTTCTACTACAGAAAGTGCATTCGTCAGATATTGTGTTACTAGCCGGATACTTGAATGCTCAGGTCGGGCATCTAGGCACCGAAGAAAGTCGTTTAAGTGGCCGATGGGGACTTGTTGGTTGCAGGTCAGATAACGGAGACCGTCTACTGCAACTGTGCGCAGACCACGACCTGTTTCCGTCTAGCACTAACTACCGCACAGTCATCACCGATGTGCCATCTGGAGCCCTCTCTCTGCATCTCAGGCCTGAACTCAGATTGATCATATCGCGATCAGCTACCGCTGGCGTGGTTGTGTACAAGACTGCCGCTCCTTTTGCAGTACCTATTTGGACCCTGATCATGCACTTGTTTGCGCCAGTCTTACCTTGCTTTTCAGTGGCCAACAAATTCATCGTCCTAAACTGATTGATGTAAGTAATTTAGTTGCAGCTTCTGTTACAACTAAATATCAAACCGAGTCAGGTTCAAGACTAGCTAAAATCCCACTGAAAAGTATAGATGAGCATTGGTTGCAATTGCACGATGCCATGAAAATGGCGAGTAAAGTCGCATGCGGCTTCGCGAAACGTCTCGCTTATAAGCACTGGGTTTCTTCTGGCTCCTTACAACTCATTGAAACCCGTCGGTCTACTCCGGGTGACCGTGAGTTTGACCATAAACGACGACTGTTACGTAATGAGATTAGGCAAAGCTTGCGTAAGGACCGAGAAGCCTGGTTGTCGGAGCGCACTAATGAGTTGGAAGCAGAAACCGCACCTGGTAACTGCCGGAAGCTCTTTCAAATCATCCGAGCCACTGGCAGCACGAAGTCTGGTGTGAGCGAAACAATCTGTGAAGATGACGGGATGCCCGTCACTAACGTAACATCAAATGACGTCTTGGACGATGGGCAGAGTTTTTCGAGGAGCAGTTCAACTGGTCTGCTGCCCCAGTAACATCGATCACACTGTCCTGTCCTCCATGGCCCGTAACGTCTGATCCATCAAATGAGGCGGAAGTTCACAAAGAACTCCAACCCTTGAAATGCTACAAATCACTAGATCCAGATGACTTACCTCCGACCCTTTTTAAAGATGATGGTGACTTTCCAGTTAAGGAACTGTCTGAGTTTTTCACAGAGGTTTGGCAGTTAGACAGTGTACCAACGTCATGGAATGAGTCGATAATCGTCCTTGTCTTTAAAAAAGGTTCACATCATCTATGCAAGAACTATCGGGGGATAAGTCTACTTCTGATCGCGTCCAAACTTTTGGCTTCCGTCATTCTTGGTAGATTGTTCAAAACCCGAGAAAGATTGACTAGCAAGAAGCAGGCTGGTTTTCGTTCTGGTCGAGCATGTATTGATCATATATTCACCCTCCACCAAATGTTAGAACACCGTCATACTTATCACAGGCCAATAATCGTAGTGTTTCTTGACATAAGGTTTGCCTTCGATTCGTTGGACCGGATTGTTCTCTGGGATTGTCTATTGAAGAAGGGTGTGTCTGAGTAGTTTATTAACATCTTAAAAGCCCTATATACAAACACCTCAGGCAGAGTGAGGGCACATAATCACCTCTCTCCATTGTTCCATTCAATCAATGGGGCTACTCAGGGTTGGCCAATCTCACCATTCATCTTCAACTTTGCTATCGACGACGTTCTGGGAACAGTTTTGATGTGTTGTGTGGATCTGTTGCCTGGAGAAAGACTTCTCGACCTTGAGTATGCGGATGATATTGTCCGTAGGTATGGTATGTGCTTTGCACCTTCTAAGTGGAAAGTACTTTTACAAGACTGGTAGGACCCTGATACTGCACTCACTCTGGGTAGTTAGCATATAGAAGTAGTCGAGAAGTTCGTGTATTTGGGTAGCCGCATAAGTGCTGGTGGTGGCATGAGTGATGAGATCGATGCACGTATAGTTAAAGCCAGAGCGGCTTATGTCAATCTGGGCCATCTTTGGCGCCTTCCTGATGCTAGTCGGTGAGAGCGGTTTTGCTCTATGCTTGTGAAACCTGGCCTCTCCGAGTTGAGGATGCTAGACGACTCTCTGTGTTTAATCATCATTGTCTCCGAAGCATTGCTGACATCCAGTGGTAGCACCATGTTAGTAATGCAGAGGTTCGGCATCGTGTGTTCGGGAACAGAGACCATAATTCAATTGGTGTCACCATCTTGAAACATCGACTGCCGTGGCTTGGACATGTTCTACGAATGTCGTCCTAGAGAATTCCACGTCGTGCATTATTTGCCGACGCTGAGACTGGTTGGAAAGAGCAGAGAGGTGGTCAGTGTATGTTGTCGCGGTATGAAAGAAAGCGGTACAAGACTGGCTTCTATCAGTTCTTGATGACCCCCTGGTGGGGACTTAAAGATGGTGCAACACAGTGGATAGAGGCGTTATCAAATATGGCTCAGAATGGAAGCCAGTGGCGATCATGCTGTAACTTTATTTACTTCCTTCATAAAAAAATACGTAACTTCTTTAAGTGGCAGAATTCTCTGTGACTGTACTTTTACTGATTGAGCTGTTTCTCACATTATTATTATTATTATTTCACTCTCATGCACTAATTCCTATTCGTTATTGTCCCCCTTTTTCTTATACGCACCTTACATTCGTTATATCTTCATTCTCATTATTATTATTATGTGGCGCATATATATATGTATATATATATTGTGCCTCTTTTTACCAATATTTATGTGTTCAGTCAATCTCACTGCCAATACTGGACCTCCATCCTTATAAATCTTAGGGGTAAACCTGTCAGGGCCTGCTGTTCTCCCACGCTTCAGATTTCCTATAGCTTTTTAAACTTCGTAAAGAGTTGGAGAACTCGCCATTCAGGTCGACTGGAGATCTTGGGAAACTGAAATGTGGCTGAAGGCCAGTCGAACTGATCCCTAAAGTGTTCTGCCCATCGATCCAATCTCCTGGATTGAGAGTGAATAATATGTCCATCTTTTTCCAAGATAGTTTCGCTAACAGTTGGATTCCTAACACCGGTTTCCTTGACAAGTCTGAATAGTTGTCTGCTGTTGTCTATTGCCCACCACTGTTCGCGATCATTGCGTAGGCTTCTTATCAGCCTGCGCTTAAGCTGACTCCGCTCTTCGTCATGTTCAGAGCCAGATGGGACGAGTTTTCGAGCATCTATCAATGCGGTGGATGCTGCTGAGATCCCGTGTTTCTCCCTAACCTTATGGTTTACCTTACTAGCAGATATCAGTGTTGTTCCAACAGCTTTCCGGATATCATTCCGCGCTGCCTCGGGACGGGCATTACTTACATGGCTGCCTAACTTTTCCTAGTTGTTCCTGAAAAAGACACCCAGGTGTCTTTCCTTTTCGCTTAGTTTACCTACTTGAGCGTTAAAGTCACCAGCCACTATTACTGCATCGGAGCGCCTAACTTTTTGGAGGTCGGAAAGCTTTCTGTACAGCTCATCTTTTACATCATCTGAGCTGCAGTCAGTGGGAGAGTAGGCAGAGACAACGAGTGTCCTTACTTTTCCGAGTCCTAACTGTTCCGTTTAGTCGGACAGTGCATAAACGACTGTCTACTGAGATCCAGTCTAAGAGAGCTAGTTCTACCCTAGGACTCAATGCTATACCTACGCCAGCGAGGCGACGGGAAGCAGCATCGGGGCTTCGAGATACATGAAGTGTGAATCGAGATGATTATTTTGACATGGTGAGGTCAAATGAACGACGCTACTCTGGTTCTGTATAAGCGTTACGGAGACGTAGTACACGTCGGTGGCGCGAGATTTAAAAATCCTAGCTAAGGAAGCCTGTTGTCCTATTTGGCACAGTGTTCGGACTTTAAAATCTCCTACATGTAGTTTAGAACGTAGTTTCAGAAGACCAGGAATAACGTTCCGCGTACTCGAATCGTTTTCACTAGCGGTGCGGGATGATAAAGTAACGTGAGAAGGGTTGGCGGTGGAGATGATAGAGTTATTAGGAGGTGTAGAAAGGATTTGATTGTGACCAACTTGACCTCGTCTGCTGTCAGGGGTATGAGGGCTCATGTCACTTCCCGGCTGCCCACACCGTAGAAGGGTACTTCTTAAGGAACCACTTTAAAAGGAAGTTGGATTAGTGTTGGTCTTAACGACCTGGGAGCGTGACCACAGAGCCCAAGGGACAACTGCTTGAGGCCGGTCAATCACGGCCTTTTTGTGGGAAGTTTTTAGCGTGTTAGCTCCA